TAAAAGTAGTAGTACTCCACTGCATACTGTTGGGTAGTTTAATTTAGATAATTTGTAACATTGCTGTTCTGCAAAAGTAACTTTTCATAAGCTCAGAAAAGCAGCTATTTTCAGTTTTGTATTTTCTAGCTAATCCAAGATTTAAATAGTTTTAAGAAGTAGGAGATTTTTTTCAAACAAATACTAAATCCTTGAATTAACCAGAAAAAAGACACAACAATTTGGAGATCCAAATGAAGAACCCTGATTTGTTTTGGATGTCTGAAAGTGACATTTTGAGTTGGCTCTTTAAGGAGGAGATTTTTGCTATAGCAAGATTTATAGAAAATGAGAGCCCTGAATCCTACACATTTTGTTAATGCAAATTGAATCTTATGAAAAGTTTTCTTTTTTGAATTTGTGGAACTGTTTATTATGATTTGCTGAGTGGCTGTCTTGGTTGATATTGCTTTAGTGTCTTATAAGCCAATATGGGCTGGGTACTGATGGTGGAGGACACTTAATAAATCAAATCAGTAACTTAGATTTGTACTACAGCTGAATTTGTATCAATTCATTTTAATTATATTTCTGATCATTCAAAATTCTCATTGGGGCAAAAATTTTCCTGCAGCTTATATTTTATGAAGTTAAATATAATATATATTTATTTATTTATCCCCCCAAAAAACATAATAACACATAAAAAAAGAGTTGAAAATGACAATGAAGGGTTTCCCCAATCTTGATATTTTCTGTATCATATTTTATGCTAATTTCATGACTTATTTTGAAACAATGGGACTGAGAGAATCATGATATCTCATTTAGGCATTCTATTGAAAAAAAAGTTTTGCGCTAACTTGGAGTAAAACATACCAGCTATGAGCCAGCCATATAGCCTAATTTCCATCTTTCCTCATTTTCTCGTGTTATTTTGAACTTTGAATCACTGCACTGGAAAGAAGAACAAAGCTGACTGTCTCTGAAATATACAGTTGCTGGTTATCATGATGTTTTTTTGGTCTTGGACCTCTGAGAGGGTTGGTTACGGTTGAAATCAGGGCCATTCATAGCCATAGCAACAATACAAGACAGAGACGCTGATGAAAATGTGATCATGGTTGTGTGTGTGTGTGTGTGTGTGTGTGTGTGTGTGTGTGTGTGTGTGTGTGTGTGTGTGTGTGTGTGAGTGTGTTCGTGTGCACATGTGGTATCATGGGAAGGTTTTATCGAGCAGACTAGAGGTCCAGACTGAGGGGTGAGACGCAAACAACTTGGTCAATATTTCCATTAAGTCAAACGGTTACTTCACTCCACACTGACCTGACATTTAGCTACCATGAGTCTATTGCTTTCTGCCTTGAGTGCTGCTAGCTAAATTTATTTAGGAACATGTACATTTTACAACTATACACAACAAAAAACATTAGAATTATATATCATGTATATATCACCTCTAAAGAGATGGAAAAATAATATAATTTCTAGAGCAAGAATTTCTGCTTTATGTTTATGTTAGAAATTCTGGTGTCAAGATATATTTTGTCAATATTTTTATAATTAGCCAACATCCACTTTTTAGTGCCTACTTGTATTTATTTCTTTTTTCTCTTTCTCTATCTTCCCTGCACTCTGCCCTACACACTCGGTCATAATCACAATAATAATATGTTTTAAGGAATACTATCAGAAAATGAATAATGTGACTAAAATGTGTCTTTTCATTCATATAGCTTATTTAAGTCCATGTGGGCAGGATGTGTGCATGACACAAACAAATAGAAAATTGTTTAAAAATAAACTATGTCTAAAATTTCATAATAAGCATGCAAATCATCCCATGTCCATACAACATCTACATCTGCCCAAAGGCAGCACCTGCATGTTATTTAGCCCCATAAAGTCACCATTAACACCCTGCCACCATCAACAGGTAATTTATTGCTTTAATTACAGACAGAAAGAATACCAGAAAGACTTTATAACCACACTAATAGGTATGACCCCTGCAGGTCCTCTGTAGGGTCAAAGAGGGTCACCATCACTCTTCACAAAATGAGTTCAGGGCCTGGGAATCTGGAGTGGATGCAAGGCTTCAGAGCTTTGAGTTTGAGGTGCTGAGAATGTCTGCAGAAGTTAAATGTGATATTAAGAAATGATGCTTGTCTTTCTAAATAATAAATGATTCTTAACAATTGGGCTGAATTACTGGGTCATAAAGGAAGATGACGATGCTTGGACTTCCTTGTAGAGAGTAAATTAAAGGGAAAATTAGAGTCCATTTTTTTAAATCAGGTGTAGATCATAAACAAATACATGTTAATTCATATAAATGGTAGATGTCAGCATTTGTTGTTGAATATATTTATTAGTGGTATTGTAGTGGTTCTGTAATTTAAAAAAATGGTTCATTATACTAAACTAAAGTAAATAAGAGTCCTGCATTACAGAGCTTATGCCAAGAGTCAAACACAGAACTTCAACACAGTAGCACAAACAGCTGCAGAATACATAAAACAACATCCATTAAACATTTGAAAAATGGTATTTAATGTCTTTCTTTGATGACAGTTCCAATTCTTGCTGCATTCCTTTCCCATGGCATTCTTTTTAAAATTTTTCCAAACATTTCTAAAAACCAACCAAACCCACAGTAACATCAACCAGATTCAACCAGCAAAAATTCTTAGCTGCAAAAACATTATTGGTTTGAACCCCTGCATGGTTCCATATGTCCATGGTTAGACCGAGCGTGCATCTGCTTGTGTGTGTTTATGTGGTTTGTGAGTGTATTTGCATATATACACTTAAAAATGTTGTCTGTATGTGTGCTGTACTTGTATATTAGTGTTCATTCATGTGTACATTTATGTTACAAAAGGCTCACAGGAGTGTTTTGTGTGTGTGTGTGTGTGTGTGTGTGTGTGTGTGTGTGTGTGTGTGTGTGTGTGTGTGTCTGTGCTTGTGTTGGATGCTGTGGGTGAGCAGGGTGGGGCAAAAGACCCTGATGTGGTTGCCTCTTCGTTACTTCAACACATGGTGACGGGGGCATGAGGCTCCACGCATCACCAAGAATGTCTGGGAACCTTCTACATATGTGTGTGTGTGCACAAGTGTATATATGCCTGTGTGTCTGTGTGTGTGTGTGTGTGTGTGTGTGTGTGTGTGTGTGTGTGTATATATGTGTGTGTGTGTGTGTGTGTATGATTTTTGATGGGCCGATGTGGCCATACTGATCATTATGTATTTGTGTGTCATGACGATGGCCTGGGAATATTTGCTCCAGATACTAGGAACAGCTGCCCTGCTAACCCTGTATGGTACACCGCCATCACTATCAATCTTTCTGGGAATGTATCTCTCTTTCACTGTATGCATGTGGACTTCTCCTTGTGTATTCATGTTTCTCAGATGTTTTTATAATAAGAATTTCACTATTTATATGCTATGTTACACTGCTTCTATACTGTTGGTCTACATAGAACAGAACGTTTTAGAAATGTTTCAATTAATATTAAATACAACACAATAAATAAATGCAAGACATTGTTATGTTTAACATTGGGACACAATTTCACTGACAGAACAAATGCATGTTCCCTTTCTTTTTACTTCTCCTTACACTGCCTCTTTTTCTTTCTCTGTCTTTTGGGACATACGCTTAACAAAGGTTTGTCTGGGTTCTATAAACCTAATGTCTTACAACATTACTGATTTGATTTTAGTTGGTAATATTTTTAATTCATTCCATTGTTTTGCCTTTTGTTTAGCTGTGTTGTGTTTACCCATGTAGCAACAGCATGACTCAAGTACAGCTTGTGTTCATTGTGGCTGAGGCGGTGTATGACATCCTATATCCCATGCCCATGTCAACCCAACACATTGTCTGTATTATTAGGTTAACTTGTTTCCATTTTAAAGTTGTGTTTTGACTCTGTAAGTTACAAGTGCAAACACTCAGACACTTGCCTTTTTCAGGTTTTTAATATAACATGAAGGATCAGAAAATTACAACACACACTACAACACTTTTTTAACTTAAAGTGTTGTAAATTCATAAACCATACAACAACAGTCACACTCAAAATGTATCTTTGTAACACATGAGTTTCAGTTTCGCATTTGACTCTGTCTTGCTCTTCAGCGAGCGATAGCATCCCTGTGTGTACACTGCACATTGCAGAGCAGTCCAATGCATGTCTGGGTATACGTATTTATGCACTGTTTGGTAAAGCCTGATAACATGACAGTGTGATGTGCAGAAAAGAAATTGAAATTACTGCAACTGCATGTGAACGAAAGAAGAGAGCATTCTTTCATGAGAAACTCCACATTGATGCAGCCAAGCTCGTAGTTGGTAGGACTTATATACCATTTCCAAAATAACTTTGTTAAGTGTCGTGGTATCATATATCTGTTTCACAACACACAACTCTGTAAATTGTGGCTATGACACATGTCGAGGTTCTCCACGCGGTTCCGTGGCGGTTCCCCGAGCGGTTCCTTGAGCGGTTCTCGTGGTGTTCACTCTCCAAGCAGCTGCACAGAATCGGGGCCAATCCGCTGCTGACTTGACTGTTCTGCTTCCAGAAGTCAACCAACCCAGGCAAATGGAGTTCAGCTTTTCCAGGGATCTCGGGCTCCCGGGATCAAACATCGTTGCTAACAGGCAGCCCCGGCAGGCAGGCAGCGGTCACCACAGCACCGGCCCCTGGGCCAGAGGGAAACACCCTCCCTGTGGCTTCCCTCTCCTGACAAATATTAAAGACCTGGCCTTCCCCTCTGGCCATTTTTGTTATCCTTTATTTGCGTGCCATTTTGCGGTGGTGTAAATAAAAGAAAAGAAAAGAAATCTATATGATCTTGCACTCCATTATTTCTGTTTAATATCAAATAATCAGTTGAAATCCAACAGCACAACAAAAACATTGACGCATCAACATCTGTTGAAACACTTTCAGTAGCTCACTTTTATTAATTTTTTTTCTGTTATGTCTCCCAGCTGTTGAAATGTGGGAAATTAATTTTTCTAAAAGGGTTTAACAGAAATCATTGCAGAGTTTTCCATCACAGCCACAAGTGTTCGCTCTCTTGTCCCTTGTGTAGGTCTCTCTCCCCTTCTCTTTGCCTTGCTGTCCTTCTCCCTCTTCCCTCCCTCTCTTTCTCTGACAGGGTTACGGGATTAGTAGCTGCGTCTTCAAAGGCAGGGCCATATGCATGTAGATTTACTACAAACACACAGGGGGTAATTGCACCAGGGGCAAAGGATTTACACTCCAACAACCTGGAATCACAGGATGCTTCACTGACTGCTGTTAAGAATTCACTGTTACCTTTTGACTTTCACCAGCTTGACAGAAACCCACATATAGCACTTTATCCATTGTTCAAGTTTAGACCAATTTTCTCTCTGAATCATTATGTGACTCATAAAACATTTGCGTGTGGCAACTCCCTCCTTCTCTTCATCCCTAAAGAAAAATAAACTAATTACACAATTCAGCCACAGTGCACTTAGGTGCTGAAGTGTATGAAAGAGGTATTGAAAACAAATACCTCATCATTGTCGGTTTAAGGGGCTATATTGAGCGTGGAGAAGGCATATGGGAGGGAGTGGCGTAATGGAGTGATGTGAAGAGGTTCCCTTGTGTCTCTTGCATTCTGACACCAGGTGATGTTTCAGTTCCTTCACTTCACCTTCGCCTTCCAGCAGCTTGGGTATAATAAAGACTTGTGTAAACAGTCATGGCATGGAGAGACAGAAAGTGAGAGGTGAGAAAAGAAAGGTGAGGAGAGTTCACGAAGAAGGTTTCCTTTGTGAGAGCGTTTTTTAAGGATCGTAAGAGAGAGAGAGGGAGGGAGAGAGAGAGAGAGAGAGAGAGAGAGAGAGAGAGAGAGGCTGAAAAAAAAAGTAGCCTACCACAAAGTTCGAAAGCCGAACTCATTTTCTCCTCTTGCGGAAGAAGACATGTGGAGAGCAGGTGTTACAGCCAGCTGTGGTAGGAAGAAGAGACGGTGCTAGAGCATAGGAAACTGCTCCCTCTACAGATCATTCAGAAGGATTACAGCCTATGTTGAGGACAAGGGATAGGTCAAGACATGCCCAGGCAAAGACCATTCAATTCAAGGACTGATCGCCCCTCATGGGTAACATGAGTCAGGTGTCAGACCTCAATCGAAACATGAATGAACATCAAAGATCACAAAGATCAAGGTGCATAACCTCTAGTATGTTGAGCATTTCTGCAGAATTAAAGCATATTGTCTCATCAGCCTGGTGCCAGTGCTTTATGGAGATCTAACACCAGTGTGGCAGCACCAAAACTGTGATTACACCAAATCTGTATGAGATGCTATTGATGCCAGAACTGACTGTCACTGAAAGCAATGTAATGTCAATGTTATACATCCCACCAGAGGGAAAAGGAACATAAAATGGAGTGCAATGTCGTAAAACACAATGGAGCATTTTTATGGCTTCATGAAAAATAGCTGAATGTAACAGGAGGCATATGGTCTTCCTGCTCCAGAATTGAGTTGATGTACACTTAATGGAATTGGAAAGTAGTACATTGGGTGTTAGCACAAAGACCTTTTTCTCCCCTTCCCATTTCACCCCCTATCACCAACATGTCTAGTTACCCTGGCAGCAATGCTGAGACACAAACAATTCGCATTAAAGTCATGGTGAAAAACTATCTCAGCATGACACAACATGTCCTAAGTAAAAAATACCTAAGGTTGGTGATTTATTCTATCTTGTAAAGATGTCCTATGCGTGTGTGCGTGTGTGTGTGTGTGTGTTTGTGTGTTGCTCCTCTATAACTATATATAAGTATATGTCCAGTATTTGAGTGAAAAAAACAAAAACAAATACAGGAAATATAGTCGTAATGAATATAGATATATGTGCATATATAATACATGTTACAGTAATAGACATGTAATAACACTCTGTTATTTATATTCATATTTTAAAATCTTCCTAAAAACTTATAGCTGCGTTGTTGTTGAGGCCATGAAACACACAAACATTACATTGGCAATAAATCATCAGACAAAGTATATTTTTAACCCCTGAAATAAACCCTTGAAATGTATATACCCCAAAAACCATGATATACAGTATCATAGAGAATTCTATATTTATTTAAAATTCCTGACTTTTTTATTTACATTTTAAAACATGTATTGCATGGAGAGCATATTTTGTCTTAATAAATTAGATTTCCTGCTGAGCCTCCTGTCCTGGTTATGAGGAAACAAATAAAAATGATGGATGGTACCAAGGGATACCCCTGCTGTGTACCAAAGCCTGCTACCTAGTAAACAAATCTTCTTAAAGGAAGCTTCATCCTTGATTTGGACAATTCCTTGGCTCCAGAAGACTTTTCTCTTTACATAATAAACCAAATCAATCACTATGTTGAGGATGCTGCAACTAAAATGTCACTTGAAGTTGTTTTAAGGAAAATAACCACACCACGACAAAATTATGTCAGCGAAAAAATAACTGCTGAATCGAAGCATTACATTAAACAAGTTGTGCCCTGAACACAACAACTCAAGCATTGATTAAGGAATTTGACATTCAAAAATCTGTTAAATAAGAAACCTTAAATAAATCATATTCAAACATTCAGTTTTACTGTTTCATTGGTGGTTATGTGAACATGTGTAGGCCCTCAGACGAAACAGTCAAATTCAATCATCCAATTATGCTGTTTAATAAGTGGTTTGTGATGGTGGTTTCGGTCAAGACACACCAGCCAAACATTTAGCCTTTTGTGTTATTAATGTCTGGATAAGGATATTTACAGATAAAACAATTTTGTGGAAGATGGAGAATATCTTTTTTATGGTTTCTGACCACAGTATTCATTCAGCCGTTGAAGAAAATCCACAACTTACAAAGGAAAGACTGAACCAACTTAAACATGAGCAAGATTTTGACATGTAATAGTCATAAGGGGCCTTACATACAGAAAAAAACAAGGACATGTGATTATCCTTTACTGTGTTATGATCAGTAATCTATGAGCCCTGTGTCCTAACAAAGGTCTAAGCCTGACTTTTTCACTGTACATCACAGAGATAATCTCAGGATGAAGATGTCTTATCAGTAATTATGTTTAATCCCCTCTTCAGTATAGTGTGGATAATAACCCTGAAAGTTTTTACTGCTCATTAAATACTGACAGTCGAGATGTTATGACAAAGCACAGTGTGTGTGTGTGTGTGTGTGTGTGTGTGTGTGTGTGTGTGTGTGTGGCTGTGCGTCTGTACACACATATATCACAAGCTTTAGTAAAAATACTTAAGGGTATATATTATATTTTTTGCAAATTGTGGCTGTACTTTTATGTATGTGTGTGTGCCTCCCTACGTGCGATTGTGTATGTGCTTGCACATTCCTGGCCCTCCAAAACCATGAATAATAAGCCTTACTTTGACATGCCCTAAAGATGAACTTGAGAATCAGCATCGTTTGACTTCTTAGTTTTTGACATGGCTGCCAGTCAGCATCAGTGGTTGGATGTAATCAGAGCTGCTGCCCTCAGAGGATCTTCTCTCACCCTTTCTCCGACTCCCTCCCTCTCCCTTCTGTACTGCTCTGTTCTTTCTGTTCTCTCCACTCCGTGCTGTGGCCAGGTAAATCTGTTTCATATGACTTTGCAAAAGGGGCCCTCTGCAAAGGTTAACACTAAAGGTGGAACTCCATGCTCGAAAAAATTAATCTATACTTTCAGCAAATTATTCATCAGTATCTGATCTAGGGTTGAATCAAAACCAAGACAGTTATGCAAGATAATATAATAAATATATAAATATACATATAAATATAGTATAAGCATGTAACCTAAAGCAGAATATTTATTTGTATATATCAGATTGCATTTAATCTTACTGCATTTGACTCACTAATCCAAGCTTGTCATTCCTTGTGCTAACATTACCTAAAGTCCTCTATTATGTCTGTACAATAAATATGAACCTACAACAGTCAGCTTAGCCTAGCATAAAGCCTGAAAACAGCTAGCCTACCCTTGTCCAAAGGCAACAACATTAACACGTTAAACACAGCCAAAGTGTAAAAATACTTGTTTTATTAAACAAACACAATATAGCATTTGGATTAGTGGGGTTTTAGAGGTGCTGGTAGGTGTATTTTGGTATATTTTGACTGTCTCTAGTCTTTGCACTAACCTAAGCTAACTGTCTGCTGGTTGTCACTTCCTATTGTAACATTCAGACATGAGAATAGTATCAATTTTCTCAACCAACTCTCTCCAAGAAAGCAATTTTCCCAAAATGTCAAACTATTCCTTCAAAATTTAAAAAAAACATAAAAAGCAACTATGTAAAAAAAGAATAACAAGAATTAAACTTTGGATATATTCTGTTTCTTTGGACTTGTTGGTGATACTGTACTCAAATGTGTTTTTTGGAGCATTGTCTTTCTTTGAACGTACTATATGCACATGCATGCATATGTTTACAGGAGTGCATACATGTGGGTATGTCAACTGAATCTATTATGCAGTATTCCTGGTCATAGTACATCTTAATTATCCCCAAAAGGTAGGTCAGACCTGTATACATTGACCTCATAATCCAAACCCATAGCAGATTAGTTTGGATTCTATGTTTTCAGAGCTTTGATATTCCCCAGCCGCAAATTGGCAAATGGGAGATGATAGCTGGCGGTTGCCAAGTTACAAAGGGTGAAAGGTTAAGGAATGCCTCTCCCTGTGATGTTGTTTTCAGAGAAGGCCAGTGAAAGTGCCGCTCACTCCTGGATACTTAGAACATGCTTGTCTTAGCAAAGAATCAAACAATGATGATTTGGCTCTGTCTTTATTTGACTCTTGTCTCTCAGCCTGCGCCTTCTCTCTCACTCTCAAGGTTTTATCTCAGTGCTCTCTAAATTGTCTCTGCTTCTTCATCTCTGGTTTGTCTCTGTCTCCCTCTGGCTTTATCTCTGTGTCTCTGTCTTCCCTTTCTTCCCTGTCAGTCTCTGTCCCCTTTAACCTCCTCACATGTCACTGGTTCTGTTGTTGCTGTGTGATTCAACAGATTGTTCAGTCTAAAATAGTCTGCTACTATGTGAGAGCCAACAAAACATTACTTGTCCAAGAACATGCGTGCACAGACACACACACATACTCACACTGGCACACAGCAAGGTCAGTCATACTTGCTATTCAAATATTTTCAGAGAGCTAAAGGAGATTTGAGCAGGTCTGAACTTCTCACAGATATTTTCATAAAGGAAAGGCTGAGAAAAAACCTGAAACTGTCAACCAAACCTATAACATCCAAGGTCCAAGGTCCCTGAACTAAAAGTGATCTTTGGCAGCTTTTTCTGACCAGAAAATTAAATTTAGTACTACTTGGTGTCAGGTATCATCCACATTCATCTGATCAAGTAGTTAAAGTTATCCTGAAGCTCATCTCTGTCTCACACTTACAACCTCTTTCTGCTTTCGGTCGCTTGCTATGTCTATCCATCTCTCTTACCCGTGCACACTCTCAGATCCACGGTTATTATGGAGAGCCACTGAGCCAAAGACGATCAGAGAACACAGGGTAGCTTAACCCAAAAAGCCAAAGAGCATGATAAGTAGCCTTTTACATGGTCTGATATTATCATATTCATGCCTCATTCATAACAGACAAACTGATCAAAAAACATCAAGTTGTTCCAAAAGGTCATCTTTGGGGTTCACTGTAGGTCAACCTAACCCATGAAAGCTGAGGGTCATGGGAAGCTGCAGTTCTTGGCTCAACTGGATAGGAACTTCACTGACAGGTTCTCTTGGAGGATGTTTGTAAAATGGCCGACCACTGATACCACAGTAAAGAGCAGCACTCGGTGACTGTGCCGTACATCCTGGGCCAAGGACATGGCGAGCACATCATGACCAATGATCTGAACCAGGGAGGAGGCACTGAGAAAGGAGTGGAAGAGTGTGGCCTTTACTCTGGGT